GCCCATGTAAGATCAAATTTAATGTGTCAATGGCAGTGGACACCAAGTGATACATAACTTGTACTGTTATATAACAAAACCCTTTGATATTACATTTGGGTAAAATGTGATTGGCAGTTGGCTCCTTGGTCTTTTAAATAATCCCATAATAATGTTGGCTCCATGTTTAAAATTTTTGGACCCCATTTAGAGCATTTTGGGACAGTTCTGTATTTTGTCTGTTGAATTTTAGGTTGCCTCTTAACCCCTTGCACCGCCAGGGAGGTCTCTAGTATTTTTTTTTTTTAACATTTATTTATGCATACAAGAACTGGGGTGCAGGCCAGAGGTGAAGGGGTGGTGAGAGGATTCACCAGAGACAGAGTGAGGAGCAGAACAGGCAGATTTACTGAAATACACTGCTGAGGGGATCAGTGGGCGAGACAGGAGAGGTCTACTGCGCCTTGTGGGTCACCTCCCTGGCTTGGGATCCAACTCGTGCTGCTTGCTGCGGATAGCTTCGTAATGCTATGTCTTAACTTACCCTTGTGCCACCAGGGCGGCCCCAGTGTTTACTATTTCTTGTAGGGCAGGTCTACTAATCACAGAGTCTCAGTTCTTTTTTTAATATTGGGATCTTGATTTGCCTCTTTGCTGGGGTGAAGGATGTGGTGGTGGATAACTTTGCTGAATATAAGATTCTTGGTTGACAGGTATGTTTTCTTCTTTCTGCTCTTTGAATGTCATTCCACTAATTTCCTGACTGATGAGGACCCTTCTGTTTGTTTTGTCCCTTGTACTTGATGAATTGTTTTTCTTGCTGCTTTCTGATGTATCTAGGTGTGGACTTTTCAAATTATTCTTGGCATTTGTTGAGCTTCTTGGTTGTAAGAATCAATGTTTTACATCAAATTTTGGGAAGCTTTGGGCCGTTATTCAAGTATTTTTTTGGCCTGTTTCCTCTCCTAGTACATGTAAGGTATGCTTGATGGTGTGCTTTACGTCTCCGAGGCATTGTTACTTATTCTATATTTGTTTCATATATTAGATAATCTGAATTGGCCTATCTTCAGTTTCACTGATTTTTTTTTTCACTTGCTCAAATCTGTTTAGTGCTGCTAGCAGATAAATTTCAGTTGTATTTTGCAACTCTGCAATTTATAATTTGTCTCTCACCCCCTTCCCAAATCTATTTCTTCTTTAAAAATAATTTCTCTTTATTGATATTTTCAGTGTACTAAGAAACATTTTTTTTCTCTTATTTCCTGAGTTCTTTAACCATAGGCTTTTTTTTTTTTTTTTTGTCTTTTGAACATATTTAATATAGTCTATTTATAAAGTCTTAGCTTAATGAATTTAGTATCTGGTCGTCCAGGTTTTGACTGATTTCACCACCACCACCTCCCTTCCCTTCATCCCCCTTCTATTGACCATACTTTGTTGCCTTTTGTGCCTTGTCATATTTTATTGAAAATGGTATAAAGTCAGTTCCCATGTATATTATCATGGCTACTGAACAATATGGGATATACTTTTTTTATAATTCTCAAGTCTGATTTTTTTTTTTTTTTATAGAGGCATGCTTTTATTTATTTGTTTGCTGGTTTGTTTGTTTTTTGTTTATACATGCACTGGGTACAGTCAGAAGCGCGGGAGGGCGAGAGAATTCACCAGAGCCAGAGCGGGGAGCAGAGCAGGCAGAAGGACCGAAGTACACTGCTGAGGGGAGCAGCGGGCGGCAGGAGAGGTCTGCGCGCCATGTGGGACCCTCCTCCGGTGGCCGGGGAGCAGCCGGGGATCGAACCGGCGCCGCAGAGGCCACGTGCAGCTTCGCAACCCAGCGCTCAACCGCTGCGCCACCGGGGAGGCCCTCTGATTCTTTTTTTAATTAAAATTTTTTTATATCATTCTTTTTTTTTTTTTAAAGATTTATTTATTTATGCATACAAGAGCTGGGGTATAAGCCAGACATGCGGGGGGATGAGAGGATTCACCAGAGACAGTGGGGAATAGAACAAGCAGGTTGACCAAAGTACACTGCTGAGGGGAGCCGCGGGTGAGTCAGGAAAGGTCTGCTGCGCCATGTGGGTTGCTCCCTGGCAGGTCGGGGATTGAACCTATGCTGCAGAGGCTGTGGATTGCTTCATAATGTGGTGCTTAACCCCTTGCACCACCAGGGAGGCCCATCATTGTTCTTTTTTTTTTTTTTTAAGATTTATTTATTAATTTATTTATTTTATTTATACAAGCACTGGGAACAGTCAGAAGTGCGGGAGGGTGAGAGAATTCACCAGAGCCAGAGCGGGGAGCAGAGCAGGCAGAAGGACCGAAGTACACTGCTGAGGGGAGCAGCTGGCAGCAGGAGAGGCCTGCGCGCCATGTGGGACCCTCCTCCGGTGGCCGGGGAGCAGCCGGGGATCGAACCGGCGCTGCAGAGGCTGCGGGCAGCTTCTCAACCCAGCGTCCAACCGCTGCACCACCAGGGAGGCCCTCGTTGTTCATTTTTAAACAATATTTGCTTCCCCACTCCCTCAGGTGTAGTCCCCATAGAATTTCCTTCCCCAGTGCACCTTTGCACCATCACCTCAGTCTCCTGTTCTCTTTCCTCCTTCCCTCTTATCCCTCTCCCTCCTCCTCCCCTGCAGTATATCTCTGATTTATAATTGTCTGTTTTTGCTTTGTTGTATTGTGTACTGTTTTATTTTGAAAATGGTATATTTGAATGTTATAATGGGACAACAGATTTTGTTGTTGCCATTTGTTGTAATTGTTTCCTCACTTAGCAACTTTTCTGTTTTGATTCTATAATGTTTATATTCTTTGTTATATGTGAAGTCTCCACTTGGTTAGTTTAGTAACCAGCTAATGATTAGACAGATTTCCTTTAATTTGATGTGATTTGATACGTTGGAATCAGTAACCTTTCCATGGCATTATAGAGGCGCTCTGGGTGCGTGTTAGGGCGTGCTGTCAACGTTCATCTAGGCAGTTGTGAATTCTGCCTTAGCTTTTAGTTCTTGCTTGTGCAGATCCTCAAGTTCAGCGAGAGGTACTAGCTTAGGACCTTTTAAGGACTTCTTACCACTCTTCTGAATATGTTCATAACTTGATCATATTTATTGCTCTACACACTGGCCTGGCCTCCAGATAACCAGGAATTGGTCAAGGCTTTTCAAAGCCCTTGAAATGTTCATCTCATATTCCTCTTCTTCCTATTAAACTATTTGGGTTAATCTGTAGTTTGACTTAACAGGTAGCTTTAAAGTTAAGCAATTCCCTGATGTTGATTGTTTTCAACAGTCACACCCAGAAAAGATACTTTCACATTCACCAAGGTCCAGATCAGATCAAATACAGCCTTCCAAGTGGGGGCTCTTAGGGAAGCCACAGGAAGATCATGACAGTTTTCTGGGAATAAGCTTTGAGGAAGTACTGCGGTTGCTTGGTCTTTACTTCAAATGTGAACAGTTAGTTTAAAGGCTATTCTAGAGAGCAGGGTAAGGGACTGTGACAAGTTAAATCATCACAAAGTTCAACAGTCTAGGTCAAAAATGGCTGTGGTGACTGATCTTGGGTTTCCAGGCTGCGGGGTGGGTTCCAGCCACAGCTGGAGTGACCTATGTTAAGTGATGTACACAGCAAGGAGGGATCAATTTGCATGTGGAAGGCCCTCATGAGCTGTTTCATCACCCTTCCAGGGGTGGGAGTAAGTATGCCTAATGTCTTCCTAAATAAAAATACGGAGATAGCAAGAGAATCAAGTTTATCTCTCTTAGCCCCATCTCCACATTAGGTCCAACCCCTTTCCTTAGGAGGCATGTATTCATACTCCTGTGCAGATCTGCTGCTGACCAGATATGGATATGAATATGAATAAAGAGAAAGAACCTGCACCATACCCAAGCACTGGGACCCGCAAGCACTAGATTAGACCATTGCTCTGCATACAGACCAGAATAGTGTAGCAGGACTCTAAGGTTCACCCTCTCACTTACATCAAACTTTGATCAGTATACTAATCTTCCATCGCTCTACTTATGGCAGAATGTGACTTAAATTACTTAGGTTGATTAAAAAAGAAAATTGAAGTTCACTATTACTGAGGTTCAACTGTTTTTCTTGAATTGATGCTCCTTGAATTGCTGCAAATCTTTGTTCATTTTCTAGAATTCTGAAAAAGTTGATTCTTACAATTTTGCTAATTTTCTCTGTGCTTTTATTGAGAAAGTATTTTTGAGGATCCTGAGTCTTACTTTCACTGATACCCTTAGCTTATTTGCTCTTAGCTTGTCATCTTAGTTCTATTAATATACACTCCTTTTACTGATACTGTTAGGCGACGCCTTTTCTGGATATTTATATTTGCAGCATGGGAGAGTGCAGTAGTATTTTCAACAGCAAAACGTGAAAAACAACTTGAATGTCCCCAAATAAGGAAGTCATTTTTTGTTTTTTTTTAATGATTCATCTCTGTAGCCATGCAATGGAATATTACATAGATCGTAGGAATTATGCATTTGGAGAATATGACATAGAAAAAAATGTTATGATATTGCTGAGATAAGAAAAACTATAAAATATAGTATATCCAAATTTTTGAAAATGTTTTATAAAAATCCAGTGGAAGAAGCTGTATCACAATAATAGCATTTATTATTTTTGAGTGGTGGTTAAATTTTGTGAGTTACAAAAGCCTGTATTCTGTCCCATAAGGTTATATTAGTTATTTTTGTTACAAAATTAATAGGCAATAATGTGATGCCCCTGTATATATTTATTACTGTTTCTCACTCTTGAGTTCAATTAAAAATCATGTAACTGTTGAGTTTGGGAACTTTACTGCCTCTTAACAAATATTGGAAGAGATGCTGTGAGGACATGCTAGTAAGAAGTTCCAAGAGTCTGTTCTGTAGAAAGGAATTTTGTTTCGCTGGGGTGTGATATGGTGAATAATATTATTAGACAGACAACTAACCTATAATCTCATTTACTAGCATTTTATTTATTTTTTTCATTTCCAGGCACATATTAAATTTCCTATTGACTACCCATATTCACCACCTACCTTCAGATTCTTGACCAAAATGTGGCATCCCAACATATATGAGGTAAGAGACATCTATCATAAATTTCTCTGAAGATTTATTTATTTTTTTATATAGTCCTTTAGAGTAGCCTCTGTTTCATAGTGCTGTAGCCATAAAGGAGTACTCATGGTTTCCCACTTTTAGTTAGCAGTCTCTAGTTCACTTGTTCAGAATTTAGGGTAGTTTTGTAATGCCAGTGTATGTTATAGTTAATTTAAAATTGAGGCTTTAAACCTTTGCTGCTCATTGCTAAGATTATTTTGCATATGTGTTAACATTTGAATTTTTTCAAACTAGTAGATAAAAGTCATACAAATTTATTTGTGTACTGTCCTCTAACTTCACAGCAAGGGTCATCTGTTGCTATGATCAGAGATTCAGCTTTTTGGGGGGATTTATCCTACTACATTTGGACTGGCCTCCTTTCAGGAGTTGCTGCAGAGCAGTTGAGAGCCTCTTTTGGAATAAATCCAAGGTGAGGTTCTTATACTGGACAAGTCCACCTGCCTGGGGAAGTCATTTCTAGTTTGTTGATTAAATGTACTGAACTTTGGGCAATATATAAGAAAGATAGAAAGATGGATTAAATTTCTCAGGAGATGTCAGGGCCCACTGAAATGTCCTTTAAGACTACTCCTTCATCATTCTGTAATTTTTTTTTCATTGCAGTGTGGTTGTGAAGTAGTCTTTTTTTATTGTAAACTTGGTTTAGTCACTAAAACTGCTTTTTAAAAAGCACCACCTAAGTCATGTAGTCCTTGTTTTGACCTGATGGATGTTGGGAAGCACCATTGCTCTAGAAGCAGAGCTTATATAATAGTCTTTAAAATGTTTGTAGCCAAGAAATAGAGAACTTACTCTAGGGTCCTGAATTTGAATTTCAGTCTTTATAAATTAGCACACTGGAGGAACTATATTATTTTTCACAACCTATTTTTCAGTAAGGTATTATAGTCATTTTTCTTTCCTCCTAAAGGTAGGACAAACTGCAGCTCAAAGGATGATAATTACATTTCTAGTAATAAGTATATCTAGAATACTATTTTCTTCAGTATTTGACATAATCATAATACATATTTACAACAGTGGATACCGTACTGTTACGTGTATCCTATTGTCCAGTTATCCTATTGTAGTAGAAAGAATTAACTCAGTTTCCTATGTTCACAGTGTGTTTAGTACATACAGAAATATTTTTGTGTCCCTGTCTATTTAGTAATCAAAAGTTCTTGCCTTCAAAATTATGTGGCATATATAGGTTCTGAGCAAGAAAAATAAGACTTTGAGCTTTTGTCTTGCTGTTGAGACCTAGTTCGCCTTAAAAACCAAATACCTGTTTCCATCTCAGTTATTTAATTCCCAAACATGTCTCAACAAAAAGAAACAGGAAAAAGGAATCAAAACTCTGAGGAAGAAAGTATAGGCAGGTAACTCAGTGCTGGTGTTTCCCCCGCCCCTTTTCCACAGTGTTTGTTTTCTTGACTACTTAAGTAGGCTATTTACTTCTGTCCCTTAAGATTTAGTATCAGGGCCTCCCTGATGGCATAGGGGCTAAATGAGTCTCAGCACTACCACACTATCTCTGCTGTAGCCTGAGTTTGATCCCCAGCCAGGGAGCTAACCCACATATGGCACAGCAGACCTCTCATGTCTTGCCCACTGCTCCCCTTAGCAAGTGTATTTCAGTAAATGCACCAGTTCTGCTCCCCACTCTGTCTGGTGAATCCTAACCCCCCACACCTCTGGCCTACACCCCAGTTCTTCTATGCATAAATAAATAAAGTAAATTAAAAAAAAAAAGATTTAGCATAGGTTCGTTTCTTTAAAAATTTTCGTATTTATAGTAAAATATAAACAATAAAATCATGCATATCTTATATATACGCAGTTCTTTTCCATGTCATAAATGTTTTAAAAGAAGTGATATCATAGTTAGGGAGTAAATTTGATGTAACCAAGCAGATCATAAGAGACTCTTCTCACAAAGTTAATTTACCTTTGTATAATCTGGAATAGTATCAGGATTTAATTTTAGAGAGGGCCCTATTATTATTTGTGATTCTAGAGATTGTGGCTTATGGCTCTTTTTTTTTTTTTTTTTAAAGATTTATTTATTTATGCATACAAGAGGTGGGGCATAGGCCAGAGATGCGGGGGAGGGGTGTGAGAGGACTCACAGGAGGCAGAGTCGGGAACAGAACAGGTAGACTAACTGAAATACACTGCTGAGGGGAGCAGCGGGCAAGACAGGAGAGGTGTGCTTTGCCATGTGGGTTGCTCCTTGGCAGGCTAGGGATTGAACTCATGCTGCAGAGGCTTTGGATTGCTTCGTAGTGCAGTGCTTAACCCCTTGAGCCACCAGGGAGGCCCAGCTCATGGTTTTTGACCAAAGAGATATTCTTTTTTTTTTTTTTAAATTTGTTTTATATTTATGCGTACAAGAGCTGGGGTATAGGGCAGAGGTATGGGGGGTGCAGTAAGAGGATTCACCAGAGACAGTGGGAGCAGAACAGGTGGAATGACTGAAGTACGCTGCTGAGGGGAGCAGCTGGCAAGACAGGAAAGGTCTGCTGCACCATGTAGGTTAGCACCCTAGTGGGGGATCTTGGTGCAGTGGCTGGTAGTGGCTTGATAGTGCTGAGACTTAACCCCTTGTGCCACCAGGGAGGCCCCAAAAGATATATTCTTGAGGGTTGCTTTCTACTCACTCAACCTGTGTTGTCATCTGTGGCAGAAATACCACGGGCCTCGATAAGAAACTGCTCTAGTTACCAAAATGTTTACTGCAATTATTTACAGTAGAAAGGGGACAATGATGACAATAACAACAAACAACACAAATAGAACTCTACTGAAATGTCAAAATACAGGGATAGATTAATGCATTTTGCATATTCACGAGCATTAAGAATAAAGACTACTGTTAATAGAAAATAGTTTATTATGTCAAGTTTTAAAAATACAAGAACTTTGGTTACAGTTTTGTTAAATATGAACACATTACTATAGCACCCAAAGTTACAAAAATTACTTTATAAATTATTTTAAACATTATCATTGTCATGTTTCCAAGATTTATAAATATCAAAGGCAGACTTGGAGAACAAAACATTTAATATAAACTTGTTACTAATGATATATTGCACAGTGTGCTCCTACTTCACAATATGTTGAATCAGCTGGTTACTTGTTACTGTGTTCAGAAGAATCCCAGTAACTTCACAAACCTTGGAGTGTTTGTATTCTTCATGGTGAACTTCATTGCTGTGGCAGCTCAAAATCTCAGTACCCTCTGATGTTAAAATTTTAAGAAATAACAAACTAATTTGCACTGTAGTTTTGAGTTCTTCACAAAATTGAGTAGCCAGAAGTATTTAATACTTGATGATCATTTTACTACTAGTGAGTTATAGAAGATAACATGGAGCTTTTAAAAAATAATAAAGATTTTTGATTTTTTAAAACAATTGTAGAAATCATTTTTTCTATACAATACTCACAGATAAATGTCACCAATGTACTTTTATAAAGACTACAGTAAAATACACAGTGTATTTTAGGCTTCTTGATATAGCCCATATGAGAATATTTTTCTTTTTCACCTAAGGTGATTTATTCTTGAAGATTTTTCTTGATTGTAGACCCAGGTGTTTCTCAGAAAGATTATACTAATCTTTATAGTCCCCAACATTGTAAGGATGTGCCTATATGGCTACTATTCCACCATCATTAGAGCATGGGATTTAAACTAGTATTTTTTAATGGTTAAAAATAGACTGTACTGTCTTTAATATGCTTATTGTCTTCATTGAGGCGCCAGAATAAAATAATGGACTGGATCACTTAAACAACAGAAAATTTTTGGGCCTCCCCAGTGGCGCAGTGATTGAGTGCTGGGCTGCGAGTCTGCCCGCGGCCTCTGCAGCGCCGGTTCAATCCTCGGCCGCCAGTGAGGGTCCCACATGGCATGCGGACCTCTCCTGCCGCGTCCGCTGCTCCCCTCAGCAGTGTATTTCGTCAGTCTGCCTGTTCTGCTCCCACTCTGGCTCTGGTGAATTCTCTCACCCTCTTGTACTTCTGACTATACCCAGTGCTTGTATAAATAAATTGAAAAATAATAATAATAAAATTTGAAAAAAACCAACAAATTCTTTTCCTCACATTTTAGGAAACTAGAAGTCCTAAATCAGGGTCTCAGCTTGGTCAGTTTCTGACAGAAGTTCTTTTCCTGAATTAATCTTTATGTCCTCAGGTGGCTTAAGGAAAGGGAAGTGAGGAGAGACTGTGCCTTCTCATTATAAGGGAACTAATCCAATCAGACCAGAGCCCTGGCCTCATGACCTCATTTAAACCCAGTTATAGCCCCCAAAGGCCTCAAGTCTAGATTATCATCACATTGGAAGTTAGGTTTCAGCATATGAATTTGGTGGAGATATAAATTCAATCCATAATACATATCAGATAACCTATATAATGTGAACTTCCTACAAATCTGCAATATTGAAAGCTATTGCAAAGTCTGGTAGAAATGTATTGCTTTTTGGAATAATAAAATTTAGGCTATGTGAGTGGTAAATAGGCCAAATTTCACAGTTTATGATCTTGGTAATTTAGGTGGAATAAAATGAATGAGACCCACAATCAGCTTCTTAAAAACTGAAAGAACTAGATGCTTTGATAGGTCCTTTAAAGAAAGCTATTAAATATAAGTTACATTTTAATATTTATTACAGGAATTTATTTAGGAATTGTTTCATAGTTACGAAATTTTTTTAAAAACGCAGTTTTCCCTATGTAAGCTAGAAAAATCAGGATATAATTCAGTCTGAAGGTTTATGAACCCCAGGTGGAGCCAGTGGTGTGACTCTTTCTTCTGTACTAGAGATTTGAGAACTGGGGGTAGTGGACAGGGTTGCTTATGTAAATCCCAGAGTCCCAAGGCCTAAGAAGCAGGAGTTACCATGTCTAAGGACTGGAGAAGAGGGAAATCTCTGATCAAGAAATGGGGGAGGGGGATAAGT